ATTTTTAAAATTAACTAAGAAATTGACACTATATTTGGTTATTGAAAACTTTTAGTATGTTTGAAACAATTTAAGGATGTGGGCCTCCCTTTTCCAATGGTAAATTTTATAAACTCTATGTATAGATCAGGTGTTTTCTATAAAAATTTAGCATCTGAATTGGGAAATGCTGCATGTCTAAAATATACACTAGGTTTAAAATGGTATAAAAAGGAAGTAAAATATCTCCATAATTATTGCTGTATGTTGAAATGATAATATTTTGTATATATTGAGTTCAATTAGATCTATTTTTACTTTTTAAAATGTGACTACTACAACATTTAAAATTACAAACTTTCGTGACATTTATTTTTTAAAATATTTTTTATTTGTTAATTATGCTTGACAAATGTATTTTGACATATCATACATACATGGAGTATAATTTCCCATATTTGTGATTGTACATGATGTAGAATTACACTGGTCATGTATTCATATAAAAACATAGGAAAGTTATGACTGATTCATTCTGTTTTTCTCATTCACTTCTCCCCTCCCTTCCCGCCACTCTGCCCTGTTCAATTCGGTGGATTGCCCACCCTCCCTCCCCACCTATTATGAATCAGCATTTCATTCTTCTTTATAGCTGAGTAACATTCCATTGTGTGTATGTATTTCATTTCTTTTTTACCCATTCATCTGTTGAAGGTACTAGGTTGGTTCCATAGTTTAGCTATTGTGAATTGAGCTGCTATAAACATTGATGTGGTCACATCACTATTGCATGCTGATTTTAAGTCCTTTGGTTTGCTAAGGAGTGGGATAACTGGGTCAAATGGTGGTTCCATTCCAAGTTTTCTTAAGGAATCTCCCATACTGCTTTCCAGAGTGGTTGCATCAATTTGCAGTCCTACCAGCAATGTATGAGTGTACCTTTTCCCCACATCCTCGCCAACATTTATTGTTACTTGTGTTCTTGAAAACTGCCATTCTGACTGGAGTGAGACAGAAAATTAGTGTAGTTTTAATTTGCATTTCTCAAATTGCTAGAGATGTTGAACATTTTTTCATATATTTGTTAACTGACCATATTTCTTCTTCTGTGAAGTGTCTGTTCAGTTCCTTAGCCCATTTATTGATTGATTGGTTTGTTTGTTTGTTTTCTGAGTTCTTTATATATCCTGGAGATTAATGCCCTATCTGAGGTGCAGGTGGCAAAGACTTTCTCCCATTTTGTAGGTTCTCTCTTCACATTTTTTTATTGTTTCCTTTGCTGTAGAGAAGCTTTTTAGTTTAATACCACCTCATTTATTGATCATTGATTCTACTTCTTGTACTTTAGGAGTCTTACTGAGGAATTCAATTACTAAGCTGATATGATGGAGAGTTGAGCCTTCTTTTTCTTCTAGTAGGCAAAGGGCCTCTGGTCTAATGTGTTCATGGTGTTTCTTTTGAAAAGATTTGGAGGTTATAGACTCTAGAGGGTGTCTGGATTGGTATATAGTGGCCCTAGTCAATCATGGGTGTTTCAGAGAAAAGAATTGTGTCACCCTTTGAGAAAGAGTCCTGTACCAGTCGGAGTCACTGCTCTCTTCAGGGAATACTTGCCCCAATTACTTTTGCTAGCAGTGTTTAAGAGAACTAGGGGATGTGAGAGAGGTCTTCTAAAGTCTATTTAGTTCTCAGTTCTTCCCAAATTGGGGTGTGCTGTAGGCACTATGGATAATTGCACTGTGATGTCTCCATCGGAGTACACCCTGCACTCCTATCTCTGCACTCCTATATCTGTTTGGAGGAGCTGTCTCCCTCCAACATGCATCTGTTGGGTGAAGATTTGAATCATGTCTCTTTAGAAGCTGTTGGCCATCCTTGCATCTGGCTACCTTCAGCTTTGCCACAAATTTCTGGGTTATCCAGTTGTAGTAGTAGTGCTTGTTTTAGTCTTTCTACATGGATTGAAATATAAGATCATGGCATAATACAAAATCACTGGTAGACTTTCTAAGAAGGATGTATCAATGGCAGGAGTTTTGAGGTTTTCTTCTCTGTGCAAAATTCAACCCTCCTTTGCATTTGTAAGTGGTAAACACAGCATCAGGGAGAATTACCTTCCCTGTTCACTATGTGGTGACTGGCCTGATGCTGGGGTAAGGTCACCTTTCCTGAATAGAACATGGTGGATATAGTGGTATGAACAGAGAGGATCACTGTCCCTGGACACAGGTGATGACTAATTTGAGTGACCAAGAAGGACCACCATCCCTAGTCAGCTTATGATGACTAACCTGTAACGTTTGAGGAGGATCACTATATTAGCTTGCTAGCAACAAATACAGAGTGAGTGGCTTAACCAGCAAAAATTTATTTTCCTCACAGTTCTGGAGAGTAAAGTCCTAGGTCAAGTTGTCAGATTTAGTTTTTTCTGAAGCTGCTTTCTTTGGCTTGAGAATTGCTGCCTTCTTGCTGTGTTCTTACATGGTTGTCTCTCTGTGCTGTGTCCTAATCTCTTCTTATAATGACAGCAGTCATATTGGGTTAGGATCTTCCCATATGACCTCATCTTATTTAATTACCTCTTTATAGGCTGTATCTCCAAATACAGTCATATGCTGAAGTATAAGGTATTAGGACTGCAACAAATGAAGTTGGATGGGAGAATTCAACCACTGTCCTGGGTCAGTATATTGCATTCCAGGATGACTATCTTAATGAACTGTGTGGTCAGAGGCAGTGACCATAGAATGGTCATCAGGTCACATGGGGATTTCCTATTGAAGGGAATGAGAACAAGAACATTCATCTCTGACACACTTACGAATACATTTAAGTAAATGAGGTGGAATGGAGGAATGTGTTGAGTCCTGGATTTTTTTTTTTTTTTTTGCAAGGTGACAGATGGTACATTCTCCTCCTTAGAACCGGGAATTTTTTGTGACTTGAAGCACAGTGCCAAACATCAAGCAAGTGTGCTAATGTCTTTTGAGGGAGCATGATATGTCTGTCATCAGGCACAAGGGTTAAGAATCTATTTAGGTACATGAACAGATAGAATGAATATAAGCCCTGTACCAAAGAACATAGGGTAAGGAGGTAATCAGGCTGAGTAGAAAGCAATGCGGATGAGGATATAGGTGAAAAGCTGGAGTCAAGGCAAAAGCAGGAAAGTGTAAGACATGAAGAGATCCCTAGAAGCTGAATTGGTTAGAGCAGATGAATTAGGACCCAGGACATTGGTTTAAAATGGTGATGGGCGAAAGGTCTGTGTCTAGATGTGATGTGGGACTGGGTTGGTGATAGCAGGAAAAAAGGCAGATGGAGAAAAAGAAGATTGCTTAAAAGTGGAAGTTGATTAAATGCTAAAATTAAGAAGATTCAGAGTTATAAACACACACACACACACACACACACCCTACAAGGATGCAATTCTGAAATCTCAAGAAATTACTGGTTCTAGTACTGGTGCTGAGACTTTGAGGATGTAGTATCTGTGTTCATGAAAGAAAAGATGGGAACAGTTTCATTGGTTGGTAGATTATAAAGGCACCTAGAAAGTCAATTTCAGTGTGTAGTTTTATTTCCATCCTAGTTTTAGGTTTCTCTAGTCAGCCCAATTGTAATCAACAAGAAATTAGATGGAAATGATATTCTCCATCTGACAAAATTCACAGGATACACCCATTAAACCGAGAAGAGGACTCAGTGTAAAAACAAATAGGCTTCATTAAATGGTTATGATGCCCTCAATGCACTTATCTTGGGGAAAAATACAGTGTAGAAGAACAGATTGCTTGATGAAAATTTGTTTGGGTTAGTGTGAAAGAACAAGAAAACCTCTCCTTTAAAATTTTGGCAGAGTGTTAAAATCTTTTAAAAGCAAGAGGATGATTCTCCCAATAGTTTTCTACAACTATTGAAAATGTAACCAGGAACAGCTCAGGAGTCTGATGAAGGAGGATGGCAAGTTCAAAGCCAGCCTCAACAATTTAGCGAGACCCTGTCTCACCAAAAAAAGTTTGGGGGAACCAGGATAGAATGTGGCTCAGTGATTAAGCACCCCTGTGTTCAGTCTCTGGTTCCCAAAACAAACAAAACAAAACAAATTATATATACGTATATACAGATGAAACGATATTCTCCATCTGACAAAATTAACAGGATACACACACACACATATATATTTTGCAACCAATTGCAGATCATATTTATGTTTATGTATAGTATGTATAACTTAGGATCTTTTACATATGTAAAACCAACTATGTCTTGCACAGAACTTCAACTTTTTCACTGTCTTCAAGAGGTAACAGAACCTGAGTGGGTTGCTATGGGCTTCCTTTTTTTTAAAATTAGCATCATACATGAAAATCAGCAATACATCCTATTATATGGACCCTCTCTACATTGCCTTCAGCCAATGTGTCTGGACACCATTTGGTGGAGCGAACTTAAGCAGGGGGGCCCAGTTTCCACAAATCCCCAAGCGATGTTGATGTTCCAAGAACTTCTGCCAAGATGCAGCAAACTGGACTCTCCACTTGAAGGGTAGGTTCAGGTCATAAGGAAGATAATCCGAAAGAGTCAGAAACAGGTCTTTGGTAGGCACAGAAGTTTGGTAACGACTTGCACGCACCTGGGACAAAATTTGCTTCTCCCACTGTCCGGTTATTCACACCTCGTGGAATGACCAGACTGAATGTGGGAAGAGGTGCATTCAGAGTTACAGGACTGCGCGTGGCCTCAGCGAACCGCCTCACCCTTCCGGGACTGCAGACACCCAAGCTCAACACCTGCTTGTAGGGCCGCCCAGCCACAGGGCTGTGGGGTGCGGGCCACGCCCTCTCACCGCTGGGTCCCGCCCCTCAGCACGCGCCGCTGGCTGGCTGGCGCCCCGCCCGTCACATGGCAGCCCCACCCTCCGCACACGCTCCGGTTGGCTCTCCCGACCCAGGGGGTGGGATCTAGCAAACTGCTCTGCCCCAGACGCTGCTGCAGTTTTCAAACCTCAACTGTAAACTTCGGTCCTCTTCTTCACCACGGTCGCCGCGAGGCACTTCGAAGGGGACCAGTTCACAAGTGTTGACCTCTGTCTGGAATAGTAAGCGTGGACTCTGCCAAGTTCCGAGTTACCCGGCGCCTCACCTGGCTAGAGCTGGAGAACGCGTCCAGTTGCGGCCACCCGCGTGGAGCGGGACGGGAGCCCAGGGACCGGAGCCCCCTCCAAGGGGGCAGCCTGGAGAGAGCCTGCAGCGTCCGGAGCGGTCAGTGTACTGCGCCTCGCGGGTCCGCGGTGCAGCCGGGATTGGGGGGTGAACTAAGATTGCGACTCCGAACCCCTGAATCGATTCAGAGACCCCGGAGCGGGTCGGGACTCTGGAGAGGTCCCAGCGTTGTGGCCGGGGGTCTTAGGTCTACCGGGAATCCGGCCTTGCGGAGATGGGCTCTGAACTGTCGCCCCCGTCCCACGCCGGCCCCGCCTCTACGGGCCCCTCTCCGCAGTCGGGCTGGTGTCCTGGGGCAGTCTACAGCGAGTGCTCCCCGGGGGGCGGCTGGGTCCGCTGACCCGCTTCCCAATCCCGGGGGCACTTGTGCGTGCGGTCGGCCTGCCTTCCACCCCCGTCCCGCACCGCGGCCCCTCGGGGGTCGCCACGCGGCGGGCCCACCCGCGCCCCTTCCACGTCCCGTTGACGTGGTCCTCCGAATTCCCCTTGAGTTCCCTTCGTGGTGTCAGCACGGGACGGGACGTGTTCATGTCTGCGCTGGGGGACACGTCATGTCCACAGCTGTCTGTCGTGAGGAGAAAGTTTGTGCTCATCTGCGGGGCATTTTCAGTCATCGCTTGTGAACAATTTTTTAAAATCAGTGAATAGAGGACAAGAAGAACTGCAGCTGTTTCAGTTACTTTTCAGTAATCAGCTCTTACTCGAATGCCCTGGAAACCACTTTGTGTACAAGACCAATCCTTAAAGTGTACATCTACACGATGGCCACGATTTTGACGTTTACCCAGGCTCTTTGTTTTATTGTAGGTAAAAGCGCTTCATTTGCATTCCCTCAGAGGACTAGATAAATGGAGACAAAGTTGAGAGAAACTTTATTGCCAGCTGGTAGCTGGTATTAGATTTTCCTGTCTATCTGTGTTGGGACTAGAGACACTCAGACATGACTTTGCATTTTGAAGTTAAGAAGAAAAATGCTTTTAAAGAGTCCAACCATAATACTGATCAGATTTCAATAATATTTGAATACATCAGGTCTTTGTATCACATTCACCAATTGTTTAGCAGAGGTGATGTTTACATCCATGCTAATAATGAATGATTAGGTGAACCTTGCAGGGATGTATGATATGGTGTGGTCTGTCAAGTCTATGCGAATGTGTGTGCTGAAACGCAGTCTGTAGAACTGACTGAGCAAGTAGTGTATGTAACCTGGCATTTTGAACCCAGGAGCACAGTTTTAATACAGGAAAAGATAATTTCTCATAGGTCCAGCATTCTGCAGTTTTATGGTAAACTGTCTAGAAGTAGTTTTCAGCAACTTTTCAATGTGTGTTTTATAAATATTAAATATGTGTTCTATAAATATAAAGTTGTATATTTTTAAAAAGGCATCTGAGCAGATGCTGAATTTTTAAGGAAATTTCTAATACTTAATAGTTGGAGTTATTAATAGCTGCTTTATTTTTAAGATGCACATTGTGCATGTTAGGGCATTTTTCTAAAATATTACAGTAAAATAAGTTTACTTGTATGGCGATATGTTTGAGTCATAATAAAAGCAAAGTTTCTGTAATTATTTGGAAATCTTTTTAGTGTGTGGATAGAATAATTTCTGTTTCTCTTGAGATTATTGTATAGTGAATTACAAGTTGGTTAAGATAGAATCAGTTTTTAGGAAACTGGAGGCTTGACTGATCACTGTCCGAATATTAATAACAAATTTGAAGAGACAAATTTGACAGACATTTGTAGCAGATATTTCTAATCAAACAATTTTATTTTTAAGCTTACACTAATAGTATTTTACTAGTAAACATTTAAACATAATTTTGGAAACTTTGTTTTGAAGCTGTTTACAATTAGAAGGGAGAATTTCCTTATCAAAATTTCTATTTTAATCCTGAAGACTCAATTTAAAACCCAGAATCAATTAAATCAAATACTGATTCATTCACTTAGTCTTGAAATTATTTCAAAAATGCACGTGTGGTATATTGAAGTGCACATTTCCTGTATGTAAAATTGGCAGATGAGAACATTGCTCTTGACCTAACTACTATTTTTGTGGTGCCCAGAATCAAACCCAGGACCTTGTTCATGTTCAACAATTAGCTCTGCCACTGAGCTGCATCCCTATCCCTTGACCTTGACCTACTACTTTTAAAGGTTTTTTGATTGATTCTTGGTTGTTTTTGTTATTAGAATTCTTTTGAATTTATTGTATCACAAACATCAATAGTCATTTAAGTATTACCTTTCTATTTGGAAGAACTTAAAATGTATTCTTTTGCTTTCGTTTTTCATAATATTGAGGACAAAATTCAGTGGTTTATTTTTAAGTAGTTTATTTTTATCTACATATGTTGTAATGTTGAAATTTTCAGGCATACTTTGTTAAATTTTTTCTTTATCTTTTTCCCAAAAATATTTAACTCAAACTTCACTGCTTTTTAAAGCATGAAGTCAATTTCTCTTAATATTTATGTGCAACATGTCTTGGTTCATCCCTTACCCTTTTTCAACTACTCCAAAAGGGGGCGTTAGTTATGCATTAAGCATTGAAGAATTTAAGCAGTGAGATAGTAGTTGCCTCTTTAATCCTTAAAGGATCAGATTACATTTTGCATTCTGATGGTTACTGAATAAACAGTACTTCAGTGATGCTGTTGAGTAAACAGTAATTTATTTTACAACAGAAACCTAATTTTCCATTTGATGAATGACAAGCACTATGTTTGTTGGCCCACTCTATTTCCGTTTTTTTTTCAATGTCTTATCCTAGTTTACAATTATAGGATTTAATTCTTTTTCTGAAGGTGGGAAGAGACAGCATCAGGCCTTACTGTCTTGGCATGGTGTCAGGCCTGCCTGGGGTTGTTCCCTGGGATTTCAGCCCTTGGATAGTATATACTAGGTTGGTTGGACTAGAGTCAGTCTACTTGGTTTTCCATTGTGATTTTCAGGAGATTAAATTCTTGAATTCTACTTTGTGTTCAATAGTTAAAAGCAAACAACAACCTGTTACTAGAATACATATAAAGAATATACCTTCCTTGAAATTGAAAACCATTATCATTTCATCCTTCAAACCAATGCCTTTACTGCCAATCTAAGGCTAATTAAAAATGGATCCTCTGCCATACAGCAGAAAGTTCTTCCTTTAGTTTTGATGGATGCTGTGTAATTAAATTGCCAGGTTCCTCTTTTTCCTAGGAACAACTGGGTTTCAGTAAATGCCCATGTAGACAGGAGGAGTTGGTTCCCTGCAATCTTGTGGTTTGCATTGCTTTCCATTGCCTTTCAGATTTACTTCACGAAAATTGAGATTTATCACTCTTTGATAGCACAAGTGTCTGAATTTACTGATTGAAGTATTTTCTTAAACTATTCATGTTCTTAGCTGAAGTAGGTATTTACATAAAAACAGGGAGTCACATAGTCTGGAAAGACTGATAGATAGGAAATAAATGCTCTGTTGGCATCATATTGCAGTATATGATATAAATAATTTTGTGGATATCCTGTTTTGGCCTGAAATTCTCTAATAGCAATTTTAATATTTCTTATTTTATTTAGTTAAACACTGAATTAAGCAAAGATGAGCTGTGTTTGCATCTCCAGTACTAATTTCAGGATAGATCGCAATCCCTGAAAATATGAGATGTACTTAAAATTTCATTCTGCTATAGTTTATAATTCATATAATTCTATTGATCAAACATTTTTTAAAATTCCCACCAGGTACCAGACACCACCTGATAATGTCTATTTGCTTAGGCACAGAAATAAAAGGCTGTTGGCCCTTTAGACACTAAACATAATTGCAGTCTAAGGTTAAGAGGTTAAGGAGTATGCCAAGGTCGTCTTATTTGAGGCATAAAGGAAAGACATTTAAATCAACCTGTGGATTTTTAGGCAAAGTGTCCTGGGAGGAGTATGGATAAAAAGAATTAGTCATTTAAGGAAATGTAGAAAGGGAGTTTCAGGCAGAGAAGTATAATCCAGATGGAGAGGGGAAAAAAAAATGAGATTGGAGTGCAGCAGGAAACAATGGCAGTGTATACTTGGCTTCAAGAGCCTTGAGTGTTATTGAATAAGGGTTTTAGCTTATAGATACTGAGCAGCTAATGGAGGAATCAAAGCAGACAATTTAATTCTCTAGATGTTTTTATTGTATATTGCAAATTTTATTTTCATAAAACTTTGTTATTTGATAACTTTGAAGTGATTTTCATGATGAGTATTTTTTAAATAGAGCTGTTTAGAGGTTTATGATGGATTGTTTGTCTTGCCTTTGATCACATCATATTTGCTTTCTCCATTCAAATAAGATAAGACTTAGATCAAACCTAACATGTCCTCATGTTTCTTTCTTTACCAATTCATATCTTCATTCTTATTGTATTCTATTGTAGTGGGAATTAATGAAAAAAACTTTTGAAAATAAGTGTGAAGCACCATTATTAATAGTAGAGCTGTGTAATTAAAATCTTAATTGTATCTTACCTTCTTTTACCCTTTTATGGTAAAAAAAAGCACTCATTATGTCCATAATTGTGTACAGACACAAAATTTATTAAATGTCCCTTCAGATTTAAATTGGTAGAGCCTGATAAAATGTTATGAAATAGATTTCAAATGGAGTAAAACATATTGCTAATTAAAATCAGTTATAGAATCTATGAACGGTGGTAAAAGACAAGAAAATGTGAATTATTTGTTGAAATTGAGAGAATTTGATGGGGGAATTTAGAAGATGTAAAAGCTGATAGTTTAGGGGTATCTTATATGAAGGACAGCCAGATATTTGTGAAAGGTTTGGAAGATAGAGGTGACATTTCATGCTTCATTATATGCAAAACTGGCCAAAGGAGGAGAAATGGAAAAATATCTAGGCTGTGACAACTGGTTCAAGACAAGTAAATAGAAGGAAGATGGAACTTAAGAAATGGAATTCAGATACTTAAAGCAATTTGTGTATATTAGCAATAAGTAGATGAGTTGAGCATTCAGTTTTCAGAAATGTGCTTTCTTTTTCTGAGACATAGCTTGTGTTCCAACATATTCAGAGCCAGAGTGAAGTGTATCACAATACCCAAAATGCTTTTTGTATTGACATTTATTTAAAAAATTGCTCTTGCCCAACACTGTTTTCAGCTACATCTGTAGTCATACAAATGCCTGTAACATATTCATCTATCATAATAACCATTAGTACATATAAGTGCTAAGAATCTGTTAGGGTAAAAAATTAAACACACACACATCTAGTTTTAGGAAATGTGGTTAAGTAGATTGATTAATAATTACTATTTAAATTATCATTATTAATTTTAATCTTAAAAATTAATCTAAGCTCCTTTTTCTCCTAATATAACTAAAAATAATAGGATTTGTCAAACTTAATTTCATCAGTATATTTGGATATCACATTTTGAGTTTGTTTTTTGGGGTCCAGGATAAGTCTGAACTTTCACAAGTAATATTCTTAATAAATTCAAGGGTCTCAAGATTACCAGTTGTGATTCATTTTCATTTTATAGAATAATAGCTATCAGTTCATTCAAAATTTACTCAGTGTTTTTTCTGGGCAATATTAAAGATATTCTCTTGCTTAGAGCATAGACACTAAATATATACCCTAAATTCTCATATGGACTGTGCATGAGAACTGACCTAAGATTAGATAACGAATACCATTAGCTACTTGTCAATGCAGAGAAAAAGTAGAGGTCTTTAAAAACCCAATATATGATGGCTCTTGAACTGCAGGCTATGTAACCTTTACTATGGAAGTAGACACCTTTTGGTGTTACAAATGGGTAAAATGCTGCATTTGTCTGTTGATATATTCACAGCAATCTTTTTTTTTTCATAAGGAAGAATTTATCACTTAAATTATTGAGTTAAGTATTAATGTTTTAGTTTTAAAACATATTCACTCTTATATAATGTGAAGAGAGTCATAGCCATCTTTTTTTACCCAAAAGTATCTTTTTATTGATTATTAAAGTAGTATCAGTGTAGATAATTTAAACATAGGAAATTATAAATACTGCTCATAATCTCACCAAAGATAACCACTGTAAAACCATAGTTTTCCAATGTTCTTCTGTTTGCATTTATATTTTACGTATAGATTTATATTATATATAAAATTTTCTATCTTTATTTTTTCACTTAATGGGTTAATAGTCTTTGAAAGCACACGTTTTGTTGAACATATAATATTCTATTTTGGTTTACTTAACTATTTTCTTATTAACTGGACTTTGGTGTTCATGAGTTTAAACTTCTGAAGCATTTTTTTGCTATTATAAGTCATGCTTAATTGAACACAAATATTTGGCTACATCTAAAACCATATTGGCATACATTCTTGAAAACTAAAAACAGAAAGTGGCTTATCATAAAATATATCTTAGTTCTACTAGAGTTCTTATGAATGGATCACTTAGGAACCAATGTATTACAATATAAGATAAACCTCCTAGAAGCTAGAATCTAGATGAGTCAAAAATCTAGAATCAAGAACCAGTGCTACTCTTGTTTCTGTGATTGAATTTGTCATGTTCTTCATTGATGAATAGTATTGGGAATGTAGCCAAAATATATCCCATAACACAGTCATTTCCTTTTTTTTCTATATATGTGTGTGTGATGTAAGTGTGACCATAAGGATATGTAGGACTTTTCATTTAGGTGTAAAATTCTAAGAGCCCAAAGACAATCTGGAGAAAGAAAAGAAAAACCTAAACTGATTGAGCACAGAAATTGATACTCATTTTAACTTTTCAGAGAATGATATGTGACCCATAAAACTGAGTGTCACAGCTACGACGATACAAAATAGTTAGTCAAAGCAACAGTTAAGCTGGGCGCAGTGGCACAGGCCTGTAATCCCAGCAGCTGAGAGGCTGAGAAGGAGGATCCTGAGTTCAAAGCCAGCCTCAGCAACATAGTGAGACCTTAAGTAACTCAGCGAGACCCTGTGTCTAAATAAAATACAAAAAAGGATGTGGGATGTAGCTCAGTGATTAAACAACCCTGGGTTCAATCCTCAGTACAAAAACTAAAATCAAATAAAGAAACAGAAAATAAAAGGAGTTTTAAGAGTTGAGTTTAGACTAACTTAAGGTGAGAGTTTTGTATATGGAATCAGTACAGCTGCTCAACAATGGCAAGGAACTATGTAGAGAATATCTTTATGTAGAATGTTATTTTTTTCTAATGGAACAGTCATAATATGCTATCATTACTAGCACACAGCAATGTCATTCCATAGGATTTCATCATATTTTGATTTTCATTTTTAGAGCTCTGCAAGATATTATCATCCATTGTTTTGGAGGGATATAGGAATTGAACTCAGGGGTGCTTTAATACTAGGTTACGTCTCCAGCTCCCCCCTCTTTTTAAAATTTTCATACACTAAGTTGCCCAGGCCGAACTTGAACTTGTGACCCTCCTGTCTCAGCCTCTTACGTCACTGGGTATCATCCACATATTAGAGGCAGCAGAATTGAAGCTTTCCTTACTAGTAATCAGGGAAATGCAAAACAGATCACAGTAAAATTCCATTTCACCTTCATCATACTAGAATAGCCCAAAGTCTGATGGGATAAGTATTGTCAAGGTAATGATAAATCCTCCCATCCAGTGCCAGTGGAAGAATGAACTTGGGATGGAAAAAAGAGATTTTGTCTTATGATATTTTATTTAATTTAAATGAAATATGGCCACATAATTAGATTGAAAAGAACAGCATTTATTGTGGTATTTGTTTCCCTGCCTCCATATTTGAAGTATTTCTATCTTTTTTAATAGCTACATTGCTATATGTTGGGTGACTTAAACAAGTGGAAATTTGTTTTCTCTTAATTCTGGGGGCTAGAATTTTGAGATCAAGGTGTTGCTTTCCATGGCTCATAAGTGGCTGTCTTCTCCTGTGTATTCACATAGTCTTCACATGGGTTTATATTTTAATCTCTTTTTCTCATAAGGACACTGGTCATATTGGAGTAGGTCCCATCTTAATGACATAATTAGTACCTGAAAAGACTATCTCCAAAGTGACAGTGTGATGTACTGGAGCTGAGTATTTCAGCCTATGAATTTGAGAAGGACATAGTTCATCCTGTAGTAGTAGCTGCTCTGACGTTAACATGGTTTGTCCTCCTGAAATCATATTGAAATTTAATTCCCATTGTGGACTATTAAGAAGGTAAGAACTTTCTCAGCTATGGGGTTTAGAGGTAGAGTTGTTGGGAAGTGATTAAGTTTACATAAACTCATTAGGGTGAGCCCCCCCAGGATTAAATCCTGTGGCTTTTTAAGAATAGATTAGGCACACATGCACACTCATTATTCCCTGTCTCTCAACATGTGATATTCTGTGCATTTCAGGACTCTGCTAGCAAGAAAACTATCACCAAATGAAGCCTTGCAACTCCAGAACCATGAACCAAAATAACCTCTTTTCTTTATAAAGGAGACAGCCACAGGAATTTCATTATATTAATGAAAAATGAATTAAAGGAGCAAAGTTAAAAAAAATTAATTAAGGTCTTATAGTTGTTATGATGAATAATTCAGACCCTGATGTTTTTAAACCCAAATGTTATTTTCATAAAGTTGCATTAGTGTCCTTAGATTCCTAGAGATATACCCCCAAACTAGTTACTTTTTCCCCCTCAAAGACTAAGGAATTTATAGAGAATAATTTACCGACTTGAAAATAAAATCAAGAAGAGAAAATACAGAACTGAAACATTGAACTCTAAGCACACTGCCTGTTTTCTAAGTATAATGTAATTTGTATTTGAATATAGGAAAATAAAGGACAGTAGACGTAAAGCAGGAAATAAGGGATGGCGGGATATGACAGAGAATGAACAAAAAAGCCTCAGGGTTTGTTATAGGAAAGAGCGAGAATAATAATACTTTTTCTTCTATTAAGCATGCCTAGCAGAAAGTCAGAAGTATCTTGAAATATATAGTCTGCTCTTATTATATGAATTCCATCATTACAAAATGGTAGTTTTGATGTTAAAACTGGATGCATGTAAATGTCAAAAAAGTTCCAAATAATCATGAACTTCAGATATGATTAAGACTCCAGAATAAGGCTTTATTTGTGATCATTCACTCATTGCTGTTACACATGGCAATCTCTGTGCCAGGTTCTGACAAAGGAGAGACTCTAAAATGGAGAGTTTCTGGATTTGGTTTTGGAATATGGTCAATCCTCAAAACATGTTTCATTCCTTGTAGTCATTCATAGATCAGTAATATAAGTTAAATATCTGTACATTAGATCAAACTTATTTGGCCAGGTGAAATTAAAATGAATAATCGTTACCTTGTGTTAAATTACCTAGTTGTATGAAAGGTATAACTTCAAAGAATTAGAGTTTAAAATGAAACAAAATGATTGCTTTCATTACAGTTTTATGATAACGTAAAAAAAAAGAAGTTGGAAAGATTTTCATAGTAGTTTTGTTCTGGAATGAAGTCAGTAACTTTATTCAGATGCCATTGAGGTGACACCAACTTATGTGTGTGCTTCTGGTGTTTCCTCCTGTGGGTAGAATGTGCTCTTTAAATTATTTTTTTTTACTTCGACCTATTGCTATATTTGGAGCTGTATAATATAACACACATCCTGCCTGAGATAACATCTTTTTTTTCTTAATTGCACTTATATCCTCTCTCTTCTCTTTTTTTTTAAAAATAGATAATATTAAGTGATTAGAGAAGCATCTCTGGGAGTCAGCTAAGATGTCTCGAAGAAGATTTGATTGTAGAAGTATTTCAGGTTTGTTAACTACAACTCCTCAAACTCCAATGAAAATGGAAAACTTTAATAATTTCTATACACTTACATCTAAAGAGCTTGGAAGGTAAGAATACTATGATGTATATGCTGTTTAAAGTCAAATTTTGGATTTCTGTTTCTATAGTTCTGTGAAGTCATCATCTCTATTGCTGTTGTACAGGGTCTCAACTGACTGGAAAATAAAATCTGTAGATGGTTTAGTGACCTTCTATCAAGTGTCACACCTAACTTCAGAGTTCCAATGGGAGTTTTCCCTTTCTTATCTAAGGTCATGAATAGAAAGAGGGCTGCATAGCACAGTGGATTGCCGAGTCCAGATCTGGGCTCTGTCATTTCCTAGCTGTGTGAGCTCAATTACCTCTTGGTGCCATAGTTTCCTCATCTGAAGAAGGGAGAAAGATACTTGTGTCTATTTTATATTGTTGTTGTAAGGGTTAAATAACTTAATATTTGTAAATTGCCTTATATAGGGTGGTATAAGTTTCTATTTAATAATTTTTTAAAATTCCTGGGATATTTTAGTTTATACTTGCCTAAAAAAGAAATAGGGAGATTCTCCTCCATCACTTTTTTCATAATTAAATAAAAATAGTTAACATATACCTGAAATATAGTTCTGTATCACAAAGAATGATTCTTCTATAAGTAAGAGCCTGTATAAATTTTGCCTTGGCTTAACCATGGTGTAAGTTTCTAAACACCAAGGAGTGACTTGATATTATGAGATCATTTAGTACTACTCTTTTAATATACATGAAAATATAAAAGCTATGCCAAGTTATCTATTAAGTAAGTATCTTCTGAGCTTTAAATTAAAGGTAATTAATGAAGGGTTGCAAAATGGTGATTAATTTATATGTTCAGTGTGATTTAGTTATGGAGGTAAATATTTTGGTTTTATTAAAATGGCCTGGTTAGTCAATGTTTGCATAGATAGATGTATACTAAAATAGTAGGGTTAATTTTTTTCTTTGAAAATCTCAATGTGAAAATAAAAATTGAACGATTAGAGGTAATTCTTTCCATAGTAGTCTTTTTGTAAATTTTTTTTTAGTTATAACTGGACACAATACCTTTATTGTATTTATTTTTATATGGTGTTGAGGATCAAATCCAGTGCCTCACACATGCCAAGTGAGCACTCTACCACTGAGCAACAACCTCAGCCCCCATAGTAGTCTTTCAAGATGGAGACAAATCGTTGCTTTTTCACTTTTATAGATATTGAATGAAACCTTTTTCAAAATGAAGATGATGAGAATATATTTTTCAAAATAAAGATCTACCTTATTAAAGAAAAGAACACAGTGCAAAAGCACAGATTATAATTGTATCATACTAATTAATTTTGTATGCAAACTATTTGCATTTTTTTTCTTTTTTCTTTTTTTTCTTTTTTAACTGGGGATTGAATCCAGGGATACTCAACCACCAAGCTACATCCCCAGCACTTTTTTTTTTTTTTTTTAATGACAGGTCTTGGTAAGTTGCTTAGCGTCTAACTAAGTTGCTAAGACTGGCTTTTAACTTTCGATTCTTCTTCCTCAGCCTCCCAAGCCACTGGGATTATCAGCATGCACCACCACTGGCTTGGATGTTTTAATGGTATAAGAGAATTTTAAAGACATTTTAAAATGACTTTGGTAAATCATTTTGTTCTGTCTTTATTTGTCATTGTATCATAGCAAGGAGTGTTTTGTTTTGTCTTCTTTTTTTCTTTTATGTCATAGAATCTTTTCATTGAAAAATTTCAGTGGTCTTCTGATAAAATTTTCTTTTAAATGCAGTAAGCAGTCTTTCCTCTAATTTCCCCCAACAAGCCATTAACCAGCCTCAATTTGAATGCTTCAATTGTCTGTTTCATTTTTGGATACCTTATAGGCATAAAATGTTCTGTTTTCTACTCTGCTAATGTCTACCTAATAGACACTGTTTTCTTTTATAGCTATACGTAATCTCCAGCCACGTGAAAGTCCTTCAGATATTTGAATATTTCTAACCTTGACAGTTTCCTTAAATGCTTGTCATATGATCTGACTTCCAGACAGCTTTCCTTGATGCAGATACCCTCTTCTGAATCACTTTGTAGTGTTCATTTGTCTCTCTTAAAATGGGAGGCTTATGATTGGAAATGGCATCGTAATATCTCACCCTTTAAAGTTTAAGGAGATTGTGTTGAGGAAGCCTAGAAGTTCCCTTAGGAACCTGCTTTCTTCCCTCCATACCTCCTTCCTTTCTTCCTTTCTGCTCTGTCCCTCTATTCTGTCTTCCAGCCACCCTTCTTCCAAAAGCTGCATCAAATCTGCCACATGACATTATATAAAACATTAGTAGAAACAGATGAGCTACAAGTCAGTTGGCCTGCCTTTGTTCTGTATCTAAAGTTGTATGATCTACTTAGTTGTATGATTTCCCTTTTCTTATGTGAGAAGATGGACTGTATGTCTCATAGTTTCCTTTTATTATGTTTGGAAACTGCTCTGAACAGGCAATTAGATATTAAATCCTTTAACAATATGTACAATAAAAGGCATTTTAAAAATTTTTTCTAAGTTACTGTTTTGATGGGTAAATTTATTTGCCTTTATTAAAATAACTTTGCAAAACAAGCTCTTATGGGAACTAGAAAAGTACCTTTTTTTCTGTAAAGGTTTTGGAGAACTTCAACTTTGATGAGGGCAATATCAATAATTCTAAATTGTTTTATAAAAATGAGGTGCCATCATGAGTAAGAATTGTAAACTTGTGTCAGTATGCTTTCTGACATTTTAGAGCAAAAACTCTTGGTAGATTCTGATTAAAGCAAATTCAGATTGCTAATATCTTCTGAAAGAGGCATAATATCATCTGTGTTTAAATTGTTTTAGACTAATGAGTCACATTGATGTATTTAATAAGCAGACCTTGATAAACTAGAAATCATGACTGCTGAGAACTTGCTTAAATTTTTTTTAATATTGTAACCAATCTTAATGTATTATACTTTTGTGAAGTGGAAATAAGGATCATAGTCTTGTTTCTACTGAAACTTGCATATTTTGTAGTGTATAGACATAATTCTAGCATGTGGTGAACTATAATGTTATCTTTCTAAATCCACTGGTTTTTAAAAAATTAATTTTAAGATGTCAGTGAGCAGTCTAAAGGAACATACATAAAAGTTAGTCAAGTTCATTTGTTACTACTCTCAAAAACCTTGCATTGTTCCTGTTTTTTAAACATGTTGGGTCAGTTTTTTCCACCCTTCCCCCAACTGAGGCGAAGTTTCATAGGGCTTGTGGTTAGAAGGGTGAGGCAGATTCAGAAATAAACGTCAGCTTCCTTTGTGGCTTACCCTCCCCATCCCTTCACATTTTATTGTGTATTCTAGAATGTAGAAGGGTAACTACAAGACCTTTTCATTGCTGGGAAATCTGGTCAGCTTTGCCTTTTAGGGTATGAATTAAGTATTATTGTTAAGGGTTTTTAAAGTTTTCTTGAGTGTTTCTATTAAATTTGGTACAGTAACATTGTATATTGAAAATTATTTTGGAGATTTCTAATAACTAGCATTTTAGAATAAAACACTTGTTTCTCCCCTAAGGATTCTGTTAATTGTAAAAATATTTACCTTGTTTCACAGGGTACACACATACACACACTCTTACATATATTCATGCACATATATAAAAATTTTTGGAATCTCCAACTTTAAAAGTGCCTGAGTACAGCATACAGAATAGCACAGTATGTGGCATTCTAGTAGGTATTCATTCAACAATTAAATAAAAGTACTTTGTTCTTTGTTTCTGAGGGAATTTTTCCTCGTGGATACAATCATAAAATTACAGCAAAACTTAATTGCCACTGTTAGTGCTGTAAACTCTTTTTTTTCTGATGTATAATTTTCTTGACTAACTTTCTGTTGTCTAAATTTTACAAGATGAATTTCTTTATAAAAAATTTCCTTTCTGTTTTAGACAACTTTTTGCTTCCAAATCCAAGAATTGGCAGAAGTAAGTTAAACTTCCTAGGGGGAAAAAAAAAACACAGCAAAAAACAGAACTATTTTAAAAGGAAGGAATTGTAGTGGTTAGAACAGAAAGTTAGAAATTCACATTCCAGTTTACTTCTTGGCACTCCATTTCCATATGTGACCTTTCGTGAGTCATGTAGTCTTATTCTGACTTAGTTTTATTCACTGTAAAATTTATAAAACATCAATGTTTCAAATATAAAATTGAAGAATTGATTTATATTTTTGTGTACTTATTGAAATGCTTCATTCAATTTGTGTACCTTTTTCATAAAGTGAGAAAATATTTTGTAGTGAAAATTAAACATCCTCAAATCTTAAAACTGCTTTAAAAAATCAGTTTTGTTACATGGAAACTTGAGGCATATTTTAATAAATAAATGTAAGAGTCAAATAAATTACAGCTTTTTTTTTTTCTTTAATAGCTAGTTTGTTTTCCAGTGCTTTTCATTGGCACCCATTTGGGGGAAATTTTGAGAAGAGTAAAATACAATCAGGCAATTAATTCTACCACCCCATACACACTCTGAAGACCAAGTGTATTAAAAATTGTTTACCTTGCTAAGGTCTTGGGAAGTTTGTTTTGGGGAATTGGCCAAGGGAACTGTGGAACAAAAATTGTCTCCTAAAAATTTTATTTATACCTGATTTTTTTAAAAACTTTTTTTAGTTGTAGATGGACACAATATTTTTATTATTTATTTATTTTTATGTGGTGCCGAGGATAGAACCCACGGCCTCACACATGTGAGGCAAGCGCTCTACCACTGAGCTACAACCCCAGCCCCACACCTGATTTCTTAGTACCAGAAACTGGAGAGAAATTTGAGGCTCGGAATAAGGTTATTAATTTTGGATCCTCTAGACTCACAAGACTTATGGAGGGGCTGCAAAGTCTGAAAATTCTCTGGAACTGAGTGTAAACTACCTGTTTAAGAGCATATGTACATTTTTTCTGTGTAGGCAAATGAATCACTTTTATTTCTCAAAATTGTCTTTCATTCAGGCCTTTGTGAAACTAAATATTGGATGACTGTATACTTGTAGTACATACATATACCAGTAGACATGTTTAAATTTTGGTGTGTTTTAAAATTTTGACTAAGATGCTGAGTACTGATATGGGAGAAAGCCAAAAACACACTCATTTCTAAAATAAGAAATATGTGTTTGTACCTACCTGTTGATATGTGTGTGTTTGTACCTACCTGTTGATTACTATAAATTTTCATAGTTGAACATGAAATGTCTTTAAATATTCTCCATAGGGTATGTATCTCTGCTATCTGTTAAAGGCATCACAGACCACTGAGCATTAGTAAGAAATATACTGGTAAAACAGCTGACGAATTGCAATTGAAAGTTTTCAACCTTGTTAAAAATCATTTTAAAATGCTAAATTATTACAGTAACAAAATTAAACGGGCCAAATACCCACTTTTGCATTCATTTTAATTTTTTAGATTTTAAGAAAGGCTATTTTGATTAAGGAGTTAATGTGATGCACTATGAAGGGTACAGTTTTTGGAAAAAGACTTAAGTTTAATGTTTATCTTGACCAAGTTAAGTATCTTCTCTGGGGTCTGCAAAACAGAATAACATTGTTATGATTCTTAAACACCATAATTTATGTCAAGAATATGGCATGGAGATGGTATACAAATGAGATTGTCTTTTTGTAGTGATAAAAAATCATATTGATAATGAAGAGTAAATACAATTCTGCCATATCATGTTATTAAAATTAAAATTTGTCATTTATGTTTTTTATGTGATAACACTGTAAATTTCATAAAAATAAATGTCATGCTTGATATAGTTTAGAGAATAAAGACACATTCCTAATGACATGAATATTTGAAACATTTGACTTTAATTTAGAGGTGTAAGAGTGTCTGTAATATATTAACATAGTTCTCTGTGGTAAAATTAAAATTAATTTTCCTTTTTTTTCCTCCAGAGGAAAATTTGCTGTGGTTAGACAATGTATATCAAAATCTACTGGCCAAGAATATGCTGCAAAATTTCTGAAGAAGAGAAGACGAGGACAGGACTGTCGAGCAGAGATTTTGCATGAGATTGCTGTTCTTGAATTGGCAAAGTCCTGTCCCCGTGTGATTAATCTTCATGAGGTCTATGAAAATTCAAGTGAGATCATATTGATATTAGAATAGTAAGTATGTACTTCGGTAAATTTAAGTTACCTATTCTAGGATAGGTGACTTGAAATATAAAAAAATAAGAATAATAAAAATATGACAGGAACTTGTAAGGATTCCTTTGATAAAATGTTAGAGAAACATAGTTCATATTCAGATATTTTTCATAAGGGTAAATATATAGCCTTACACAAAAGCACAAAACAGACAGCAAGAAATAAACAAATGTCAATACAGTATTTGGGGAATGTGGTAAAATTATACTTTTATTTTTGCTAATGACGTGGAAATTGAGATTTTTTTTGTTTTGGAAAACAATGTAATGGGCAAATAGAATTGAAATAATTTATATTCTTCGTGCATCTACTTGAAAAACACTTCTAAGGAAATCCAAGAAGAACAGAATGGTAAACTGCAGAAGGTAATGACTAGAACATTGTTTGTTAAGAAACCCATTTAGTATGTGTGAAATGCATAACATTATGGTAAGAATTGTAGCCATAAGAAATTATGTTCTTTGTCAGTGAAAGCTGAAACAACCAAATATTCAATCATTGAAGAGGTAGTGGGAGTGGAAGATGGTTAAAATAGCAGGTTTTACTAATATATCCACATGTGACTCTTAGTGTCTTTATTACATGAAGATCTGACACATTTATTATAAGGATGTAACAAGTATGAATATCTATAACAATTATTAGAAAAGATAACTTTAATGTGTGTTTATTATGCTTTAGATTCTAATAGTTTTAATAAAGTAAATCTACTTTTAGAAGAAAATGTATTGATGATTGTATTAATTCTTTTTAGTAGCTAACTTGCCTCATTGCCTTTTTGAATTTAAAAGCATATTAGCCTTATTTTAGCTTCTAGTTATCTTAAGGATAAAGAGGTTTATTTGCATATTAATAAAAAATGTGTTTGTGCCAGGAAATAGATTTGCCTGGAATCAACTTGTAAATGAAATTGCTAATTTTACAAAATGTTAAGTAGACAAGTATTTCATTTCATAATGAATATCATGTAGATTTTTAAAAACATATTTATTTTTTGGTTTTAGGTGGACACAATATCTTTATTTTTATGTGGTACTAAGGATTGAACCCAGTGCCTCGCACATGCCAGGCAATAACTCTACCTCTGGGCAACAACCCCAGCCCCAAATATCATGTGCATTTCCCAGAACACTAAGATATCATATTAAGGCATGCTATAACACCTTCAAAATAAATTTGAATTTTAGTAAATGCCAGAATAGGGGCTGGGGAAATAGCTCAGTTGGTAGAGTGCTTGCCTAGCATGCACAAAGCCCTGGGTTCAATCCCCAGCACCACCAAAAAAAAAAAAAAAAAAAAAAAAGAATGTAAATGCCAGGATACTCCCAATAAGATTTCATATTTCATACATTTTGTAATTATTTTTGTCAGCTGTTTTTTGAATAATTATCACATGCATGACATCTGTATGCTTGAAGTATGTAAAAAGTAGCTAACACTTTTCAAAAATTGTGGTGGAATACTAGGTTTGAAGGGTGAATATACATGATAATATTGATTGTCTTCATAAAGTTTGTCTTCTGGGTGTTCATTTAAACAGCAATAACAAAATACATTAGAAAGTTTTAATACATTTTATGGATAGACGTTGTTTATAATATGAAAATCATTCAAGTACCCTGTCTAGTAAACTAGCAGAACTGTTACTGATCTCTGTACCTCTGGCTGAAATGTAGCAAGCACTCAGCAAATGTTTGGTAAAAAAAATTTAATTTTTTACCAAAGTTTTAAAAAAAAGTCACTTAAGTTATTACTAGGGTTTTGGCTTAATTATTTCGCCCACCACTTTTGGATTGGCATTGTCACATCATGTAATTTGAGTTGATGGTAAAATATGGTCAGACAGTTTTAGTTGTTTTAAAAGGTGGCATTATTTTTTATATGGTAAAAATAAAATGGTGGAATCTTTTACTCTAATTATTATTACCAATTCAATTCTGTACTCAAACCATCCTACATACTCATTTTTTTTTATTTTACAAAAGTTCAAATCTATAGAAAGATGGAAAACTAGCACAATTGACATTCGTACATGCTTTACTTTGATTCACCAATTTTTGACATCTTGCCATGGCAACATTTTGAAAATTGTACATAGCATGACATTTATCCTTTGCATGCTAAAGTACTTATTACGAAGAATAAGGGTAATTGTCTATATGACCAGCATCATTATCAAACACAATAAAGCTAACATTTATTCAGTAGTATCATCTAATAGAACATACTGAAATTTCTTTGTATCTAAAATATCTTATAGACTAACTTTTGTCAGTATAAGATTCATTGAGATTCACCACATATTTCATTGTTGAGCCTCTTCAATAATTTTGTTTATTTTTCATGATATTGACTATTCTGAGGGAAATTTATATCATTTGTCACCTGAAATGTCATACATTCTGGATTTGTCTATGGCACCATGATTAGATTATAACATTTTCCTTGGCAAGAAAACCATATAGGTAATGATCTTATTTTTTATTGCTTCACATCAAGTGATATTAATGTCAGGTTGTTTTATTATTGGTTTTATTAAATTTGAACTTGGTTATGGTGGAGTCTTTTAGCTCTCCATTCATTAACTGTTCATAAAGATGAACTTATTTGGTTTTTAGATTTAAAAAATGTGAATTGCCAATATTGTTTTTTATTTTTATTTTTTATTTATTTTACTTAGTTACACATGACAGTACAATGATCTTGCCTGTTCCTTAACTCGGAGTTCTCCATTATAAACAATAGCATCAATATTCAGATTTTATTTACCATGTTATCATGAGACCTATTAAAGTTAATTTCTGGTGAATTTTCAGAGAGTTTTGGTGGGTGGAATGGGATTAAAGTCAAGAATGTGTGATTGGAATTTTTGTATATGTCTACAGAGCTTTTTTTACAGCGCCGTTAAGAGTAATGTGGCAAATCTTTGTTGATTTTCATGTCTCAGACATTGTGGTTAATACTTACAGAGGTGATCTCTTTTAATCCTGTTAATTCATCTGTAAAATGGGAATAATAACATCTTTGTCACATGGTTATCATGAGGATCAAATTAGATGCTATTCATATATACCCAGATCTGTCTTTCTATATGTATGGAGCAGAGCTTATTGTATTAACTACTGTTTTTATTATTTTTATCACAGTTAAGACAGACTGTAACATTATTCACTTATAGAGCAATTCAGTTTTATTCATTCAACATTCAAGTATTAGTACCCAGAATTATTTTTGTCATTTATTTTCTTCTTAAAAATTCTCCCTTCCCTGCATTATTCTTAAGAGTGTGCACATTTATACACACATACACGCACTAAAGTTTAGATGGTTGTGTCTTTTATTTAACATGTGTACAGTATTTAAAAGTTATTTTTAGGCAAATGATTTTAAAGTTGTATTATTTGAATTTTTTTCAGTGCTGCGGGTGGAGAAATTTTTAACCTGTGTTTACCTGAGCTGGCTGAAATGATCTCTGAAAATGATGTTATCAGACTCATTAAACAAATACTTGAAGGAGTTTATTATCTACATCAGAATAATATTGTACACCTTGATTTAAAGGTAAGGTAAAGTGATTTAAAGGAATGCAAAGTCTGTGTTCCTTTGTTGCTTTTGATGTGTAGAATTTTAAGTTAGTTTTGATCAGAAACAAGTCACATTTAGCCTGTGCTGTGTGCATTCTTTGCCTACCTACATGCTACATGGACCTGATTTTGTATTGGCAGGCAGGAGAAGACTGTACATGTGAGCAGCTAATCGCTGAGCTCTTAAAATGCATCATTCTTATGTTATAATCCTACAGTCATTCTACTCTGTCCCTCTCTTAGAGCCACACCCTGGACCTTAATTTTTGAAACTGTCCATCTCTGAAATACTCAATTCTGTTCTCTGTCTCAGAAAATATATTCTTAATAATCCTCATTCCTTTGTTCCCATTATGCTCATTCATTTTTCTCTTGAGGTTTTCAATCTTTTGACTCTTTCCAGATCATTTAGGTTCCTCTTGTAAGCCCTGAAACTTAAGTCTTTCATGTTGTCCTTTTTCTTCCTTTCCTCCATAGTCATCCAAGGACCTGAAAGTCTATCAATCTCTTACTTTCCAAACATTGGACTCTTCTCTACAATCTCCCTGCATGATTCTTTGACTTCCACTACCACTTTATAATAACAATCCCCAGATCTTGGCCTATACTGCAGGCCTATCTCCTAATTTCCAAATCCCCCCTTTTAAACTGCAATTTGGATACACATGTGAATGTCCCATAGAAACTTTAAAATGTCCATATCTCACTTGTCATCTTCCCTTTCTCTTACCCTTTTTAAAAAATAAATATAAAAATAAAAAAGCTCTTCTCTATTGGGTACCCCTGTGGAGGGGGAGCAGTTTTGACCATCTAATACCCCTACCATTTCCAGTATTGATGAGATATAGGAAAAGAGGAAACATAATAAATACCAGGATGCTCAGGCTCCCACAAGCTTCCTATTATTAGATTTATTTTTTTCCCCTGCTAAAGACAAACCAAATATATTACATAGCATCACACAGCACTTGAAGTCATGGATGCCATATAAGCTTGACTTTATATACCATAAAGCCCAAGATTGACAACAACAGAACTAATTACCCTTACTTTTTCTCCTATGTTAGTATCTTTGATTTAATAATAAACATGATGTTTTCCCAGAGTTAAAACACTATGATGATTGTACAGACTTTAGGAAAAGTACCTCTACATATATATAGATTTTGCTGGTAGCAGAAAATTTTGTCATAAGTCATAATTCTACAATAGTAAAGTTGAGTCATGTGGTCCCAGGAGGCAATAGATGAAGTAAGTGTACCATGAATCTCATTGTCTAAGCTTCAAACCTGGGAACAATCGGACCCAGCTCATCCAGAACCATCAGACTACCTTGAACTACCTTCTCCTAGAAATGTGTGCATGTTCATTCTTTCATGCCTCCTTTTGTGCTATTCTCCAAGCACCTTCTTGCCTGGCACACTCATGCTTATACTTTTAAAACTCAAGTTAAGCATCATCTCTCTTGCATAGCCTTCTTGGACTTTTTAATGAGCAGTATTAGGTATCTTGCCTTATTATTGAGTACTCTGTCTCATAATCAATGTATCAATCTAACTTTCCTTCATACTGAAAAACCTTTTTGAGTACAGTTTTTTACTTTATTCATCATTGAATATATAGTTCTTCTTAAATAGTAATTCAGTATGTTTTGATGAATGACTCAATGAAATACCTAATAGCTAAGCAATACATTTCACTTGATATATCTTCAATCTGAGATTAATATTCTTTTATTATACATTATTTATCATTTTTGTTGTGCTTTACTTAGCCACAGAATATATTATTGAGCAGCATATACCCTCTTGGGGACATCAAAATTGTAGATTTTGGAATGTCTAGAAAAATTGGGAATGCATGTGAACTTCGGGAGATCATGGGAACACCAGAATACTTAGGTAAGAATTTTCTTTTTCCCACACCTTTCAAATTTATTACGTAAATGATACCTCTCTAAAGTTGTATTTTAGAGCATCTAATCCCAGGATTCATTAGGTTCAAGTCTTTTTTTTTCCTATTATTTATATATGACAGCGGAATGCATTGCAATTCTTATTACACATATAGAACACAATTTTTCATACCTCTGGTTGTATACAAAATATATTCACACCAATTTGTGTCTTCATACATGGACTTTGGATAATAATGATCATCACATTCCACCATCATTAATAAATACACTGAAACTTGGTTGTGACACATTTAAATGAACTGTACTAAATGTAGGGTTATTAAAATATTCACAGGATATTGACTAAGTGTAAAAATTTAATGTTTATGTATAAAGACTTTGTTTGCAAGGAAAAAAGAAATGAGTAAGAGGGGAGTTAGGGAAAAGGAGAGGGGCTTTATTAGCAAGAATGTTAGGCTTTAGAAAATAGTTTTGTTTTGGAGAAGTATAGAGAATTTATTTTGCTCCTTTTTTCTTTTCTTTGAGGGGAAGAGAGCTAGAAATTAAGTGCAAATTAGGTTTTTGATAGGTTAAAAGGGATATTTAATCTACTTAAAAATCTGTCATATCCAAGAAGCATAATTTGCTCATAATGTCATTATAAATGCATATGATCATATTTATCCTGAAAAGATAAATTTAAATCAGTCTAATAAAATGATAAAATTAATTTCTAACAGTAATAAAACTAAAACTTTATTAAAGATTCTAGTTTCTCACATTTTATTTCTTCATAATTGCTTTTTCTGACATTAATCTTAATGAAACTTTGGTTTTTTTTAACTACATAGCTTCCAGTTATTCCCAAGAATATTGTTAACACTTTGAACCATCTGGTCTTGGGCTGGGAATATAGCTCAGCTGACAGAGTGCTTGCCTTGAATGCACAAGGCCCTGGGTTCAATCCCCAGCACCAAAAAAAACTCCCCCAAATGAACCATCTGGTTTTATAATTTGCTCAACATTAGCTATGTTTAAATGTGTAATCACAGAATAGCTAAATTCCTGATGATCTTATGTCACTCAGATTTTCAAAATTAAATACAGTTCTAATTTAGTATAGTATAAAGTAATTTTTGTACCTCTTAATTTTTTAAAATTTTCATTAGTTCTTTTTATTTATACATGACAATAGAATCCATCTTGATAAAATTATACAAGCATGGAATATATTTTATTTTTATGTTGTAAAATTTGTTGATATTAAATTTGACTTTTCTTTTCTCTTAGCACCAGAAATCTTGAACTACGATCCCATTACCACAGCAACAGATATGTGGTAAGATTCTGCTCATTACCTAAATGCCCTCATTGAAAGTTGGGAATGTGTATTCCTGGGTTCTCTGATCCCAAGGATAAATAATAAGGGTTTTTGTCCAGAAGATTTTATTCAAGTATCATTATTACGCCACAGGAGAATATTTCCTTGTCTGTCCTTTTGAGATAACACTTAAACTCTGAGCCAAAGGTACAGAAATAAATAGGAAAATTCCTTTAGGGGATGAAGACTCTGGATAATTCACAGTGTAGAGCTACATGTTCTGTAATAGTGGTAAAATGCTCAGAAAGCCTGGATGAAGCAGCACACAAAGTAGTCTTAGGTTCCACCTAGCAATGGGAAACATTTCATCTTGGTCTAAAAGAATTAGGTAGAGGTGTTTACCAAGAAAAAGATGAGGTCAGATGCACACGCAAGTTTGGTTTTATGAGTGTACATTGATAGGGAATTGGGAGTTTTTGTGGCAAGCACAGAGAGAACATGATGGGGATTAGAACCAGGGGACTTCAGCAGGAGACTGATCTCATAGGCCAAGTGGAAGAGTTTAGACTTATTCCCTGTGTTCTCTGAACTGCTTATGAGTTTGCCAAAGAAAAAAGATTCTGTTGTTAAATAAGTTTGTGAAACCTGTACCATATTGTCTATTTCTGGCTCTTGAGCACCAGCCTTTTCATTAATATATTTATAACTTTGAAAAGTTTTGTGAAGATATTTACCTGTCCAACTCTGTGCTTTGACAAACTTACAGACCGTATGTACACAGAACCCCTGCAAAGATCATTACTGTGTCATTGCACACCATTTAGAACTGCTGCAGCAGCTTTGTGTCTCTGAAACAGATGTCTGTGTTGAAGGGGATATTGTGGACATCATGATATATTTTAAGTACATTGTTTATGTTAATGTAACACATGTGCATGAACTCTCTTTGTGTGAGGCAAACTTTGAGATAACTAGTTATTTTAGTTTTATAATATAGGAATTTCTAAAAGCAATTTGAGTCTCTAGTTTATCTTTAAGGACAGGAATTTACAGAACATTGATAGTACTTTATGTAAATATTTAAAACTTAACATACATTTTTAATTTCCTCCTCTCATTTTTTAGGAATATTGGTATAATAGCATACATGTTGTTAACTCATACATCACCATTTGTGGGAGAAGATAATCAGGAAACATATCTTAATATTTCTCAAGTTAATGTAGATTATTCAGAAGAAATATTTTCATCAGTTTCACAGCTGGCCACAGACTTTATCCAAGGCCTTCTAGTAAAAAATCCAGAGTAAGTAATAATATTAATTTGTTTAATTACTATTACAAAGTAAATAATATGTGTTCATTAAGAAAGATACATTTTAAAGTTATATATAATTAGAAGTATGCTGAAGTTTCAGGTAAAATGGGGAGAGAGATGATATGAAAGATCATTAAATAATAAATATATAACTTTAGATAAGAAAGTACAATAGGAAATTTAGAATGAAAAGATTTGGGTTATTTCTCAGCCAGCTATTAATCCTTGAAAATAATAGAAAGTTTGCAGTACATATGGCTGATTATTATAAGACTTTATTGTGAATGATTTGTAGTTCAATAATTATAGTTATGTAACAAGAACAAATTACTGATTGTCAAATCTTGAAGGATCAGATGTTTGATGTTTGAATAGCCTTGTAACTGTGGATCAGGACTCCTATTCATTGGCAACTTCAAGGCACAAAAAGGAAAAGCAGACCTTTTCTTTATCTAGAATCAACCTATTTACTTAAAATGGCCTGACTGCATGGTATAAAAATTGTGACATAGTGCTTTATGTTGGCATCCTGATTTCTTTCTGTTAGTCTTTTATCTCTGTCAGTTATGCATCTTCTGGAAGACTCCGTTTGCTTATCTGTTAAAAGAGAAAAACAAAAACTCATTGATTTCTTAATTATTTTATTAGGTTAATTCAAATCCAGATAATTCTTACTGGCTATATTATAGACTTGAATGATTACTTAATAGGAATTGTAATAATACTGTGCAGTTATAAACAATTTTTGTTTCTCAAACTTTTTAATATTCTAAAGTTTCTATGATGAGCACATTAACTTTACTATAATCAGACAAAAATTACACAGAAAAACAAAAGACTATATAGCATATACCAACTGGTATTTGTGTTAAGTTTAGAGTTATATTTATATAAAGATAGGTTTTTTCCCTTCTTTTACAATGTAGTATTTGACCATATTACTTTCATATAGAAACAAAATTTGAAAATTTGAAGTGTTAGATAAATATGATTGAAGACTAGACCTTGTTTTCAAGTTTTAGTGTTATTTTTTAAGAATGCAAAATAATGGAGAGTATGTTACTTATTTATGTTTTCCTCCATAGGGCTTGTAAACCTAGAAATTTTGTAATTTTTACTAAATTTTATTTGTTAGGCTAACATATTATTTCAAGCCTTTTGACTAGATTTTTATCTATAAGTTCCATGATAAGTCGAATTGTCAGTACATGTCAAGTTTAAAAAATGCAGTTTTCCTTCTTTCAGCAATCACAACTAGGGGAACACTTTTATATATAAACTGAATTTGCACATGAGCAGATATTAGGCTTGGAGGTGATGAGGAAATACAAAGGCTAAATAGTTCCTTGATTATTTTTGTTTTTGTTGCTCACTTCTCATTCTCATTCTTTGTCTTTTATCATTTACTAAGATAATGAGACAAGTATTTTCTTCAGTAAAGGAAATTTCAAATTAAGTGTAATTTCCATTATGTTTTTGTCAATGCAGACCAGAATCAAGATTTTCAATTAGAGAAAGTAATGGGCTAGCCATTAATTTTTTTTTTTCATGTGAATTGTGGTTCCAAGAAGAGATTTACTAGAAAAAAAGTAGTTCATGGGCTCAGGATATCTTTCTGGTAGAATACTTAAACAGATACAAATCCCCAGCACAGGAAAAAAAAAAGATATATAAAAGATATATATGTGTGTATAATCTATATATGTATATGATCAATATATATATATATACACATTTATGATCAAATAAAGAATAAGAATAGTTCTAAAAGTAAACCATGAAAGTGATATTTTTTAAAAACTTGGATTTTTTGCATAATCTTGGAGAAGATATAGGTAGGATTGCATATGAAGGTCATTTAGAGGGCAGTTAAATCCATCTTTTAAAATATAAAGACCCAATAACTTGGGGCTGGGGTTGTAGCTCCGTGGTAGAGTGCTTACCTAGCATGTGCGAAACCCTGGGTTTGATTCTCAGTACCATATATAAATAAATAAAATAAAGGTTCATTGACAACTAATAAATAAATAAATGACCCAATAACTTTATCAGTAATTTATTCACAGGAAGTAATCAGAGAAATTCCCCCAATTTTTTTTCAGTGTTCATTGCCGCATTAATTATAGTTAAGTCTGGATGTATTGATGGAGGTCTGATTAAATAAATTATGGCATATCCATATGAAAGAGTGATAAATAATATGGCTGTTAATATGTTAACACTGTACTGAAATAGAAAAATGTGCTTGAATCACATTACTGAGTGGGTGAACAAGGAAATTGCAAAAATATATAGTGTAGGAACATGTGTTTGTGTGTATGTGTATGGGTGTATGATGTGAACTCCAAAGGGCTTGGACATCCCTATCTTGATAACTGGGGCCCTCATGGCCTTTCACTGCTCACTGCCTGTGGCTTCCTTCAGCAGGTGCTCTGCATTCCTGGCATCTCTAATTTCTTGAGTTCTCCATTGTGGCTCTGGCTTCACTCTCAGAGCTTTACTATGAAATCATCCTGTCAGGAACTGCTTGCATGTTTTGTGACCCTGCCACAAACAACCTGGCCTCTCAGGCTTTCCTTTGAAATTTTGATAGATGCGTCCACAATTCCACAACTCTGGAATTCTGCATGCCTGCAAAACCACATTATATGGATGACGCCAGGGTTTGCCTCCAGCAAGAAATGTACTGGGACCTGCTTAGACCATGCCTGTAGTGGTCTCCAGTGTCTAGATATCTGAACATGGGGAAAGCAATCCCAGATAAACAATTCCTGAGGAGTCCCCATGCAATTTGAATACCTTGAGGAGCTCTTATCAAGGAAAGTCTTTGAAACATGTTTACACTTATCCATCTTTGAGCCTGCAAGGGAGGAGGGGTCTTAACTGATTCCTGAGATGCTCTCAAGGCATATTTCCTGTTGTCCCAGTTCAAGGTATTTGGCTTATTTTTAAGGGTTCTAATCTCTTTAACAAGTACACCCTCCTTGTCTGGAACTTTTCTTATATTTCCTTTTTGGCTAACCTGCAAGTTTTCCAAATTTTTATATCTGCTCTTCTTGCCCTTTTTTTTTTTCTCACTGTAAATCTGACTAAAAGCAGTCTATACTACCTGTGCCACTCCCTGAGTGCTGTGCAACCATGAAAATTTCTATATCAGATTAATTAGTCTTTTAACACTAAACTCAGCCTGACACAGTTTCAGGCCATAGACAAAATGTAGACAAGTTCTTTGCCAGAATATAATATGAGTTGCCTCTAGTTCAATTTGCAGTAGAGTCTTCATGTCCATCTGAAACCTTATCAGCATAGTCTTTACTATTTACATTCATGTTAGTAATTTTGATTTTGATCCCTTCATCAGAATTTGTCCTTTAGGCTCTTCTTAGAGCATCCTAGACTTTCTCTAGCCTATTTCTCCAAACTTCTAAATTCCTCCAATTTTACAAGCCAGTATCAAAGGTTCTAGACCACATCATCATGGATACTCACAAGCAATAGCCCAACTACTCAGTACCAATTTTTTGTTTAGTTCTCATTCTGCTGTTTTTTTTTTTTTTTTTTTTTNGGGCGTGCTGGGGATTGAACTCTACCAACTGAGCTATACCCCTAGCCCCTCATTCTGCTGTTTTGACAAAATATTCAAGATAATCAACTATTGAGAGGAAAGGTATATTTTGGCTCATCATTTCAGAGGTTTCAGCCCATGGACAGTTTGTTTTGATCCACTGTTTTTGGTCTGTGACAAAACAGAGTCATGGCAGAAGAACATGTGGTTGGAGCAAACTGTTCACCTCATGGTGGCCAGGAAACCAAGAGAGAGGGAGGAAGGCCAGGATTCCTTTATGTTACTCAAGGCACATTCCCAATGACCTAACTTCCTTTCACTCACCTCCCAAAGCTTTCACTACCTTCTGATAGCACTGGAGGCAATGGCCTCTTGGGCAGACATTTAAGATCTAAACTGCAGCATGTATCATTTTTAAGTTAGGAGAATTTAGGCAAAATCCAAGCCTCTTGGTATACTTATTCCCTAATCTATTGAATAGTGTAAATAACACCTATTTCTTAGTTTCTTGTGATTATTAGATAATATATTGAAAACATTAATATAACACCTGGCGTATAACTAGGCATTCAATAAATGTTAGCTACTATTATCATGATTATTCTCTACTATTTGGATTTTATAGTATTATATGTTATCTTCATAATCATTTATAACTGTCAAAAATCTGTCAAACTAAAGACCTTTTCAACTTGATTTTAGTGCTCAATTTCCCCTTGATGCTTTCTTTCAAAGGAAAAGACCAACAGCAGAATCCTGCCTTTCTCATTCTTGGCTACAGCAGTGGGACTTTGGAAGCTTGTTTCACCCTGAAGAAACTTCTAGCTCCTCTCAAATTCAGGATCTTCCAGTAAGGTCCTCTGAAGATAAGACTTCTAAATCCTCTTGTAATGGAACCTGTGGTAATCCGGAAGACAAAGAGAATATTCCAGAGGATAGCAGCATGGTTTCCAAAAGATTTCGCTTTGATGACTCTTTGCCCAATCCCCATGAACTTGTTCCAGATTTACTCTGTTAGCACTTTTCTCTTTGACTCATTTGGATTGACTTTGAAATTTGAAATCAACTCCATTGTGAGATGTGCTTTGTAGCTTCATATATGACTGTTTATATTGTAAATTATCTTTGGCATAGTAGAATTTAGGGAAGTGTTTTAAAGGTCTAGTTGCTTGMATAATATCATTTGTTCCACTGAGATAACTCCACAGAGAAGGAAATATTTAAATACATGACAAAAATAAAATTTTACATGTGAGTTCACATGTTAATGAAAAGTTCAAGTTCAAGTGAACTTAAAAATATTTTACATATCAGGAAAAAAGTCTGTGCTATATTATGATTGCTGTAAACTGAACAAAAAAATGAATGCTTTGGAATTTAATAGGTTCTCTCTTAAGATGAGTTCTATACCATGATTCTATTGACATAATTTCTTTAGGAAAACAGTGTAAAGTTTAAGCCAAAGTATATTCTTTATAGATGCTTCAGAGATGTTTTACAAGAAAATGTTTTTCAATTATGAATATTTTGAAACTACATACAATTTCCATTATATATGATCTGCTGTGTGAAAGAGGTTCTTTAACCAGAGCAAAAAGGAAGTTAAAAGAATGATATCCCTTGCAAGTCAGAGAAAAGAGTAATAACAAGAGTAATAACATGGCTTTATTTTTTAACTCAAATGTCTTTTGCCCACTCTCAGCATATTTCAGATCTAATAAGGTCTGGAAGATGAGGATGCGTAGTATGCAAGTATAGTGGTTCTTCATCCTCTAGAATTTCTAGAATACAAGAGACTTAGGAAAAATTGAACATGCTCTATTTTTAGTCAAATGTATTCATCAATTAAGTGTAGAAGAAAATGTTGGCAGATCCAGGCAGCTTACTGAAATTTTGATGTCTCCTAAATACAAGTCCATCATTCAGTGCTTTAGAAGTATATGTAAAAAAATACCATGGCATCAGCAGAACTATTAGCACAATGCCAAGGTCAGCATGAGAACATCAAACTCTCCTAAAGTTCTTGTGTGAAATTCCTAGTAATTAAGGAGACTCTTGGGGGAGGCCTAAGGCCACCAAGAGAGTGGCCTATAACTGTGGTATTTTGCTGGGAGCAATGTGGGCAAATCTAGGGAAAGCAGAACGTTTGGTCAATGGCCAGAAACTGTTTAGTCCTAATAGTGGGAGGTGATTTATTCATTTTAGGGTAATCTTTGATGAGTTTTTCTATCTGATGACCATTAAAATATCTGTTATAGCATCATGTTAAAATAACTGGTCTCATGGCCATATTACTTTATCAAACTGTATATTGACAAAACAAACAACCTCATATTTCCCCATGCAGTCAGATATTACTATAATGATTTAAATTCCTGAAATTTTGATAGATTCCAAATTCCTTAGATGACTTTAACTATTTTTTAATGACCATCAACTTATTTTATTTGACTAACTGGTGAATTACTTTAACATTCACAGCATTTTTTTTTTTCAATATTGAGGATTGAACTCGGGTGCTCAACCACTGAGCCACATCCCCAGACCTCTTTTTAATTTTATATTTTATTTAGAGATAGGGTATCTCTGAGTTGCTAAGTGCCTAAGCCTCTTAAGCCACTGGGATTATACGGGTGTGAGTCACTCACTGCACCTGGCTCATCCACAGCATTTTAAAAGGAAAATTTCTCTCTACTTTTTTGTGTGTATGTATGTATATGCATATGTGTATATGTATAGGTGTGTGTATATATGTATAGATAGATAAAATATAGTCTCTAAGCAACTTCTCTTAACCATTCTTTGCTGTGGTATATTGTGCTGAACTCAGGTGCTACAAGAGCTCCCTTTTATGAATAATCAATATACAAATAAATTCTTTAAGAAGTAGTTTGTTGGTTCAATAAACTAGACGCCGCAGATGCTTAAATTGAGCTTTCATATATCTGAAACTTATGAGTTGTTTTTAAATGTTGAGTGCCACCTCCCCCCCCCTTTTTTTTGCCTTCAGTATTAAGGCAATGTGAGTAAAGCTTAGTAAAGTCATTGAGAATGAGGGAATGATTACTTTTCCAAAACACCAAATTATATTTTAAAATTTTAGAATAATTATGCAATACCAAAAAAATAAAAACAAAGAAATGTTGAGTTTTGAATTATAAGCTACTTCTTTAAAAATCATTTTATACAGGCTTTCTTTTTCTCTGAGGAATATTAAAATAGTTTATGTTTCCTTTTAGTTAATAAAATATTAAGAGTTGTAAATTTCCATAATGTTTTTGTAACATTGTTTTATTGTAAAAAAGCAACTGCTTGTTGCACAAAGACTATAAAAAGAATCTTTTGATGAAGATAATTTAAATATTTTCACTGATTAAATGGTGAAAATCAATCTTTCAAGAGAATTTATTAGCAAATGACTCAGTTTTTATTCTTTTTCTCCCAAGATAAAAAAAAAGTCTATAAAAAGCAAATGATTTATTTTCCTAAAGTTGGAATCTAGAGAGCACCTGTGAGTAATTAGGTGTCAGTAACACTTAAAACACATCTGAAAAAAACTGTTAAATTGTGATGGTCTTATAAAATTATTTGCTTTTTGAGGAGGATCCCTGGATAGGTGGGATTTTGAAATAAATGGTGTATAGATGACAATTACAATTGTCCTTTTACTGTAAGTTGACCTAACTGAGCAGTGAAATTATAATGACACTTTTAATAAAGGAAGGTAGTACCTGTTCTCCAGTCTGTAATGAGATAAGGTGATTGTGCCAGAATATAAATCAACTTTTGTTTCTATTATTATAAAAAAAAAAACAACTCAACCAGTGTGACTAGTGATGCAGTTGATTTTCATTCTGGCACAAGCTCTTTTTTTCATTTTGGATGGGTGACAAACAGTTCAAGGCCATACTTCAAATAGCCTTGCTCTTAATAGCATTTATAAGTTGATATTTTATAACTGTTTACATTTTTTCTGTTTATTTTTGTTTTTGTGGTACTGGGGATTGAGCCCAGAGCCTTGCATATGCTAGGTAAGCGCTTTACCACTTATTTTTAAATTTTCAGTTTGATAACTGATTTGGAATTGTGTTTTTAATTGTTGTGTAAACAATTATACTTTAATTTCGAGTTACATTAAAATTATCTGACTTCTAATTGGGAGAATTATTATTAGCTTATAATTTTATAAAAGTATCTTAAAGAACAGTAATTGTAAATTTCATACAAATTGTTATGCCCTGCCATCTTCACTTTCATTAAATAATCATATTGCTTAAAGTATATAAACAGACATCATGAATATTGTAAGAAAAGTCACAGAACTGTTTATTGTCAACTTAATGATTCTTCTGGTTAAAAATTAAAAAGCACTTTTTTTTAACATTTGTGGTTGTCCTTTGTTTAAAAGCATTTTTAAATTTTCTATTCCTAAAGTCTTGCCTGAATGTTCCAGCCTTTGACCCAGGCTGTTTATTATTAAGTTCTGTCCTTTGGAAAGACCTCATAAATTTGAAAATAAGCAGATATCTATTCTCTGGTAATAATGGACACTTTTTTCAAAATGTCAAGGAATGGCAATGTGGTATATGTTGCACAAGATTTTTTATCTGGTTGTGGACTAAGAGTTAATTCCCATTATTCATGGTAGTTATGTTCTATAAAGTTTCACTTGGTGAATGCTGAAGCATCACTCTGGGAAATGTAGAGGTTCCTGCAAATCTCTGTTCATAACATTTTTAAGAGCTGATCAACACATAACCTTATTTTCTGTTTCAGTCTAAAGACACTGTGTAATATATAATGTTGGTTCATTAACACTGAACTCAGGGCCAATGGCACTACAGCTCATGAAGCTTACCTAACATTTTTTTCTCTATAAGGCACATCACAGCCTTCTTGTATGTAGAAACATTACACAGCACTTCATCACTATCCTTTGGGGCCACTTTGGTAAACAGTGAAATTACCAAAAAAAAGGCGTAAAAATGGGGGAAAAGGCACTAAAAAGACTGAAAGGACATTTATTGTATGCCAGCTAAAGCAAGGCAGAATGTCACCTTGCTCAACCTCTGCTGAGAATGTTTTGTTGGATGAACTTTACCACTATAGTATGTCTGCAAGTGATGGTGACTACACCATGAGTGTTTCTTTTGGAGTAATAAATTTCAGTGAGTGGGTGAATAATGAGGATCAACTGTATGTAATAAATTCACCATGTAAGGGGTATGAAGTGTGATGAGATTAATGGTATACAGACTTTGACAATGGAATCTTCAGGAGGAAGAAATTTATATATGTTGGAACTTAAATGCACTTTGTTTTTTCAAGTTCTGTAGTATATTTTCTTATTCTGGTACACAAGTATTCCAAAGTTTTCTTCCTGGGCACTGAACATATCTGAATTATAATTATCCTGAGATGTGAAACACCTCTTAGGTAAATTGATCATGTTCTCTCTTATATCACCACCACACTTCTTGGCTCTGTTACCTCCCTTAGTTAATAATACAGTGATACCACATTTCACAAGTGGGAATCTCTAGTTGTCATTCTAAAATTTTTATTTCCTTACTGTACCCCTTCCATTGATGTTTATCACTCATACTCACTTACTATAATTTGTAGTCATGTCTTGATTCCTACTGGTACATAATCTTTGATCTAGAGCTAGATTTTCTGAATCATCTACGAAGAGACCAGAAAATGTCTTTTGTAGAGGGCCAGTTAATAAATGTTTTAGGCTTTGCAAGCTAGACAGTTTTTTTTTACAACTACTCAGTTCTGCTTTGGGAGCACAAAAGCAATCATCCACAACATGGAAATGGATGAGTATAGGTATGCCAATAGAACTTAACTTACAAAAAAACAGTGAGATGTTGAATTTGTGAACCCAATCTAGATTATTATGTTATTTTAACTGGTTCTTCTTGCTTTAATATGCTTAAGATGGAGAGAACAGACAGAGACAGGGTAGTGCAACATCATGAGCTAAGGAAAAAATGAGTCTTGTCTGAGTCAACTGTCTAACACAGACTTCCAATATACTAGGACTGGTGATTGTACATAAAGTTTCACTATGGAGAGTCTACAAGTTGTTGAGAAAAAAAAGTGAGAAAGTAGAAGCCACAGATACACATGATTCTTTTGAGAAATCTTGGAGAGGAGAGGGGAAAAAATTGTTTGAAGTGTAAGCAATGTCAATAGGATGGGAGGACTTGGACATGTTTGTGGGCAAGGAGGGAGAAGGAGTCTATCTGGAAATAGCAATTAAGCACGTAAAAGTGCAAGGTAATTGATGAAAGAAAATGCCCCA